ATCTTTTAGGTCCTTACCTGGGGAACCAGACTGACATGAATGTTACAGAAATTCTCTCTTTTGGCTTTGAACTGGAACTGGCGGAAAGCTTCAATGAAGGGCATGCTCTCAATATCACCCACCGTCCCACCAAGCTGACAGAGACAAAGCATTGCAAGTTAGTACCAAAACAACCCCCAATGAATTTGTACACTACAACATACATGTAAGAATAGGACAAAGGGCTTTAACCTGCCCGAGGGGAGACTGAGATGAGCTCTTAGGCAGAAGCTCTTCCCTGTGAGGGTGCTGAGGCGCTGGCACAGGGTGCCCAGAGAAGCTGTGGCTGCCCCATCCCTGGCAGTGTTCAAGGCCAGGTTGGACACAGGGGCTTGGAGCAAGCTGCTCTAGTGGAAAGGGTCCCTGCCTGTGGCAGGGGTTGGAACTGGATGAGCTTCAAGGTCACTTCAACCCAAATCCTTCTAGGATTCATATATGATTCTATGACACATAAAAGGACACTAAAACATCTCCCCAACGCCTCCCTCCAATTCCCTCAAGAAGCACCAACACCATTACAAAAAGCATGAGGAGTTGCCAGCTCTATGTACAGCTTCCACAGCCTCCCATCTACCCCAGCTATTCTTTTACCTTCATGATTTCCCAAAAAAAAAAGAATCAGAAAGCTATAAGAAACACAACTTCCCACCTGGGCAGCCCTCTCCAGGGATATTGGCTTTACCCCTATTCTCTATTCAGGGAGAAGATTGAAATGTTAAAATTATCATTTCTGAACATCAAGTGGCACTGAGAAGCAAAATTTCTGTTAAGTTTTAGTGACTCTCCAGGGTAGTTGTGGACAGATGCAGGAAGAGAGACAAGGCATTCTCTGGAGCATGAACAACCTCTGTGCTGTCAGATCATGCTTCCAAGGTAATCCAGGATGCAGGCTTGTGAGTTCTGGAACAGAAACTGGCACTCAGGCTCCATGGAGTCTAAGTCAGCACGACCTGGGCACCTTGACAAGCTCCCTCTCTCCTGCATTAGAACATCTCACCAGCCAGCTCAGCATTCTCAAGAGCCTTCACCCTCTTCCTCTGCCTCCTTCAGCAGCAGCATGTCCCATACAGCACACAGGACACTGCATGGGGTTTGTCACCACTAACTTGTGCCTTTCCCTTTTCTAGGTCCATACTTGCACTAGTGGCTCCAAGGCTCCCTTTACTGTTTCCTGGGGGTGATTTACCTTCCCCCCACTCTCCTCAAACCACCAGGGAAGGAGAGGGTACAGCATGATCAACTCAGACTTTGGCGTACAAAGTTACAAGAGCTATTCACCCTATAGACTAATGCACATTACACTAGAGAGCAAAGCATCTAATAACTGTCCAAGACCTAAGTCCTTCTGTGCGCAGATTCAGGCAGACAGCACTCAAAAGATTAGCTGAATAAGTGAAGGTAACAAGAATGATTTTTAACCAACTCAACAACAAGCAGAGTTGAATGTTAATAATAAAAATTACTATGCGAAATATTCAGGTCAGTCTACTCCATGCAAGAAGCTAAAAGTACTTTTTAAGAGCTACAGACCTCAATCACACAAACTTGGGGTTCAATGCCATCCTCATCCACAGGAATCCGCGCCTGCCTCATTACCCATTCTTGTATTGCATCTGTGATGTGGGGAACAACTGGAAAAGAAACCCAGGCAGGGTTAAAGCCACAACCCACACGCACTTCTCCCCCTAGCTCATTAAAGGGCACGTAACTAGCCAGTGCTTCCCATGTGGCTCGAGCAGGGATTTGTCTCTTTAAAGAAGGATGCATTTTTGCAGTGCTGCTGCTTGGCTGTGATGTTCAAGCAGTGCCTTGGCAGGCAATGTAACCCGGCCTCAGTTTAAACACACGTAAACATTTCCTGTAAGATGGAAGATTTGTGTACAAACAGTTCTTTGCTCTGAACAGAGCGTTTTAAACTGTCCTTACCCAAACCAGCTGTGGAGGGTGCTTAAAAAGGGAAGGGACTGATGCGATCCACCAAGATCCTCTGGGTTTCCTAAGGCCATGATAGTTACCCAAAGCAATAACCATTTTAACCAGCAACCAAACAATGCAGAGCTGTATCAGCCTGAAGTCTGTTCGCATTTAGCATTGGCTACAAGGCCAGTGTACAGGCATTATGTTACTGAGCACTGGGAAGTCCTGAGGGGCTCCCAGGTGCCCTGGCTCAGTATGGCACACACCAGCAGACCTGCACTACTGCCTCTTCTAAAAAGCAACCCAAAACCATCACCAGGACACACCAAAGACCTCAAGATGTAACACAAAACCAGGACAGAAACGCAGGATATATTGCTAAGCCTCGGAAATGAAGCTTCACATCACCTTGGACAGTTTTGCCAAGATAGTCTCCCTTCCTCTCCTTGTTGATGACATACTGGTAGATCTTCCCAGTGGTCAGGTTGTTGTCTTTGGTGAGTCGGATGTCGAGGAAGCGCTCGTAGTTGCCCAGGTCCAGGTCCACTTCCCCTCCATCATCCAGCACAAACACCTCCCCTGCAGCACAAAGGCACGCGTGTCAGAGGGAAACGGTCAATGGCCTGCCCGTGAAGAATTCAATGCACGAAAAACACCTCCTTTGGTTGATAACAGCGAGCCGAGGAGCGGCTGTAACAAAGGGGACCGCTCCAGTGAGGCCTGCAGGGCCAGGCTCCTCCACCACACACCGGAGGTGGCTCCGGCCAGGCCAGGCCAGGCCAGGCCCCCACCCGCGCTCCCCGGCGCCCACGGCACCCACCGTGCTCATAGGGGGAGAAGGTGCCCGCGTCGATGTTGATGTAGGGGTCGATCTTGATGGAGGTGACATGCAGCCCGCAGGACTTGAGGATGGTGCCGATGCTGCTGGCGATGATCCCCTTGCCGATGCCCGAGATCACGCCGCCCGTCACCAGGATGTACTTCATCGGCCTCGCTGCCCGACACCCACAGCGCCTCAGCGACGGCTCTGCCCCCCCGCCGCCATCCCGCCCAGCGCCTGTCACTGAGGGCCGGTTCCCGCCCTTTCCCTCAGCGGCCCCCCCGGCTGGTTCAAACCCCCCCCCCCCCGCCCCGCTCCCCACATGGTGCCGCCCCTCACCTGTGCCCGCGCCGGGCGGACCGGACCGGACCGGACCAAGGCGCTGGCGGGGAGGGTGGACTCGTGCCGGCCGGCTCGGCGGGGAGCACGGAGCAGGCGCAGGTCGCGGCTCGGCTCAGGTCGCGGCTGGGCGCAGGCGCAGTTGGAGAGAGGCGGGAACGGCGCCGCCATCGCCCCGCCCCTCAGGGGGGCTCCGGTGCTGAGGTACGGGGGGGGCGGCGGGGGTAACTCCCGGTACCAACACGGTGAGAGCAGCCTGAGGAGGAGCACTTGGGGTGCTGGGCAATGAGAAGCTCCTCATGACCCGGCTTCAGTGAGCGCTTGAGCCCAGAACCCCCCCGTGTGCTGGGCTGCACCCCCATAGCGTGAGCAGCAGCTCAGGGAGGGGATCCTGCCCCTCTGCAGCGCTATGGGGAGATTCCCCCCTGCAGTCCTGATCCAGCTCTGGGGCAACAACATAAAGGGGCTCCAGGAAAGCTGGAGAGGGGCTTTGGACCAGGGCCTGTAGGGACAGGCCAAGGGGAATGGCTTTAACCTGCCAGAGGGGAGACTGAGATGAGCTCTTAGGCAGAAGCTCTTCCCTGTGAGGGTGCTGAGGCGCTGGCACAGGGTGCCCAGGGAAGCTGTGGCTGCCCCATCCCTGGCAGTGCTCAAGGCCAGGTTGGACACAGGGGCTTGGAGCAAGCTGCTCTAGTGGGAGGTGTCCCTGCCCGTGGCAGGGGTTGGAGCTGGAGGAGCTTTAAGGCCCTTTCCAGTGCTGTTCTACGACCTGATACAGAACACTGTATCATTTGGAAATAAAATCAAACCAAGAAACTGAATGCACCAAAAGCCTCCTCCTGCCCAGTCAGCACTGGAAAGGAATGCATGGTCCTGCAGCTGGGGGGGGGTAACCCCCGGTATCAACACAGTGAGAGCAGCCTGAGAAGGACTTGGGGTATTGGTCAATGAGAAGCTCCCCATGAGCTGGTTCTTGAGCCCAGAGCCCCCCCCCCCCGTGTGCTGGGTGCACCCCCATAGCATGAGCAGCAGCTCAGGAAGGGGATCCTGCCTCTCTGCTGCACTATGGGGAGACATCCCCCCCTGCAGTCCTGATCCAGCTCTGGACAACAGCGCAAGAGGGACATGGAGCAAGGCCAGAGGAGGCCATGGAAACGCTGGAGCAGCTCCGCATTGAAGAACAATAGGACCAGGGGCAGAAAATTTCTTTTCACGAGTGAGGTCCGTCCCCACCTCCACACAGCAGCACATTCCCCTCGTGTCTGGGGGACAGCCCCTTCAGTTTCCTTGGGCAGGATTAACACACTTGTGCTGAGAAAGTGATCAGGTTTTCACCAAAGTGCAAAGCGGTCCCGTCTGTAACCCCGGGTCACGAAGGGCTTTGGGCAGATCCTGCGGAGGATGTCACACAACGGAGGAGCAAGAGGTGGGTTTAGGAAGATGTGTGGTCCTGCGGCGGCTCTTGGCCTCTGGCCTTGCCCGGTAGTGACTGCTCGGTGTCATCCCCAGCAACGACCAGTAGATGGTGGAATTAAACAGCACAACAGGAGCCTCTCCGGTAACACAGAAAGCAGGGACATGCGTAGGGACCATCAGGAGGACCACGACTGGAGCATCACACGTGCCCTGTGGGTCAGGAGGCAATAGGCAGCGTCTTCTGGGTCAGTCCCCACGGTACCACCCCAAACAAGCTGTCACTTATCCTGGGACTGAGGAATTGTGACCCTCCCTGGTAGGTTTGGATTCTTCCAGCCAAAGTTTCCGCAGGGGCTGCAGGAGGAATGCTGCTCACCCCCCTCGGAATCACGGCTGGTTCATGAGCAAGCTGCAGTGAGAAGCAGAGGAAGCTGTTCAACCCGGTGGCTGAAGGGGGGCTTCTGGCTCAGCAGCAGACCCAGGAAGCTCTATTTTGATACACAGGTGTCAAAAACTGTCAAAGCACAGAGTGTATTCCCTGAGAACTGGGGTGGACCAGGCATGTTGCAAGGACACCCTGGTTAATATCTTGAGTCAAGGAGTTTCTTACCTGGGGGTGTTTCAAGGCAAGGAGGATTGAATCGTCTTGTTCATCACTGGAGGGGTAATAAATGATTAATAAACTGTTGAACATGGACCAATTGAATTGTATATAGAAGGAATCTATTTAAGAACTCCCTGGTTTTGTGGCCAAGCTTGTGAAAGTGGCTTCTGTAATCAAAAGCACTAGGGAGGGAAATACAGAACCCTTTGCACAAGGAGAGTCAAGCCAAGAGCATTTTATTACCATGACTCCTCTGAAATCAGGCAGCTGCTCCCAAAACAAGTTCACAGAAATATATATACAGTTTTGGGGAATGGGTTTGATTGCTGCAAACACCATCCAAGCATTCCAAAGCAGAGGGATGGTGATGCAATGACATCTCATTATAAGAAGTATCTGACACAGAACAAAGTTCCTGGCAGAGAAAAAGTGTAAAAGGCCTGTATTCTATTTAGTAATTCCTCCTTCCCAAGTTCAGATCCAAACCAGCTGAATTAGGGTTCAGATAAGCAGCAGAAAAGGGGAAAGATCTTCATCATTTAACAATATTGTGCATCTGGTGCGATGCTCACTGGTACTGTGCTTCTCAAGCCCAGATGATGAGGATATTTGATTTTGGGAGAGTTTGTGAATCCATCAGAATGCCTGGCCAGGCCGTGGTACTCCAGGAATCTGGGATTCACATGCTCCTGTTACTGCAGCTGTGCAGGTAGAGGTGTACCTGAATGTACCTCTTCTCCCATCACGCTTCTTCTGCCAACTCCTCCAAGCTCTTTCCTGCCAGGGGCAGCATCATTTGGTGCTTGTCATCCTCAGAGTCACTGGCATCCCTTTTCCTTGCCACAGCCTCTTGTGATGTGCCTGTAGCCTGTGCCTTTTTGTGCTGAGAAAGAAATTAATGTCACACCTCACTATTACAGAAAGATCCTGGGATTAAATTCTGGGATTCCCTTTCCAGTCTTATGGCTTTGGTATGTAAACTTGGGTCTCTACCCCTAATGATTCTGTCCCACTGCAAAGGAGAGCTGTGACACTCAAATATCAACAGCAGTGTGGTCCAGGGGGAAAGGCTGACAGTGCCCAACCACTGCGAAATGCTGCCCAGCCTCTAGAGCAAACTCAGCAGAGCAGGCTCCCCCGAGGAACCATCAGCTCATTCTTTACCAGAGCTTTCTCTCCTTTAAGTTCAAAGGAGTCGTTTTCCTTTGAAGTTCTAATTCATCCAAAGAGCCTTCCTAGGCAGAACCATGAATCACCTCCAATATAATGTGTCTCTAGACCCATGGTGCAAGCAAGGGTACCATAGCTATGGTAATTGGGAATGGAGATCACTGAACACATCCACTGCTTGTGGAGGAATGGTGCAGCAACAACAGTGATGGTAGCACACACAGTTCCACGCCAGCTGAGCCACTCACCCTCCGGTGGTGCCTTTTGCGCCCGTTATTTGGGTGGTTCCTGTAACAAAGCAGCAGATTCAGTGCCTGGCCTCATGGGCTGATGCTTTTCAGTGCCCCCACACTGAGAGCTTTACAAACACATTATTTGTTCCTAAACTTCCAACACATGAAGCAAAACTCAAGCCCTGCAGCAGAAAGCACTGGACAGAAGAGACACAAAAGGGATGGCCTTAGCTGAAGACCACAGAGAGGATTCTTTAAGCCACTCGGCTGCAGTCTACGTACCACAGTGTCCTCCTGGCAGGATCCCGGGGCACCAGCAGCTCAAAGTAAGGCAGTTTCTGGTACTCCTCATTTCCCACTGCCACGTAGTATCCGCCATCCACCAGCTCCTCTCCACCAGACACCCAGGTTCCATCCAGCCTGCAGAGCCTCAAGGAAGAGACACCAAAGGGTTCAGAGCTGAGACAAGTCCCGGAGCAACCCCTCAGCATGGAAGCAAACAAGTGCCAAGTGGTAAACAGGGATGAGACAAGGCAGAGGATCAATCATTGTTCATATTACTCCAAGGAAGTACGCAGAAATACTACACCCAGTGACCAATGGGATGCAGGAGATCTCAGCTTTTCCTTTGGGTGTCAGTAAACAGACGTATGAGGGGAAGGTAGTGATTCGGAGGAAACTCCAGGAACAAACTCGCCAGCAGAGTTTCAAGTTGACAAGCAGGTATTCTTTATTGCGGCGCCGGGAGACAAGGGGATAGCTCCTCCTAACGTGTCTCCGAATTGCTATACAGGTCATCCTTATATGGTCACCGAGCATATCACATCATTTTCCAAAAGGTTTCCGGCATGCATACAAAAATGTGGTGGTCTTTAAGGGTCGTTTACTTTTCCCAACAAGCTTAATTAACATTACAGACATCGCAATCATCCTGCCCTTCTACTTATCACTTAGTTTAACTGCTCTCATCCTGGACATCTGCTAGTCCCAGATACTCCCCATCCCAGGTCCTGTCCTTCTATTCTGCTTTTCTCACACCTTTTGTACTGAGGCCCTGAAACTATGTCAACTACCTCCAAGCACCGCAGTTATTTTCCATTACAAAGCCATCAAACTTAACATTACTTAGAACTTACTACATTTTGTACTTCTGTGCCTCCTTGTCTCAGTAGGCTCTGTGTGTTGGATAAAAGCCCATCCCTCTAGACATAAACTCCTTTTTATCCCATGCTTTACCGTTTGCTTATTTTCTCACCAGACCACCAGCACCATCAGCCCTCCTCACTAAGCACTGGGGTTATCTCTGCTGTAAGGTGGGAAAACATGAAAATCAAAGGAGTTTGCAAAAGCAGACTGGAAGTGGCTGGCTGAGCTCCCAGCCCCTGCTGAACCAGAGCTGCTTATGTTCTGAACGGAAGGAAAGAAGAGCCAGCAGAGCCTTATCCGGACACGAACCTACTGACAGCTCCGCTGTGCAGGGCGGCTTTCTCTGCCACCGTGGCCAAGAGTGAATCCCAGTGCAGCAGGGCGCTGTTAGAGACTGGCAGAGGGAAAGGAGGGCTCAGCAAATCCCCATTCCGGAAAACACTGTGGAAGAAACAACCCCGAGCGGGCGATGAGCCGGTATTCCCGCAGCTGTGGAAGATGGGGAGAGGGGAAAGGCAGCCACTGATGCCTGGGTAAACAACTACTTCTGGTAGAAGCTGGGAATTGTCCCTATGGGGCAGCATTCCCAGGATCTCACAGAGCAATTCCCTCCTCCAAAAACATTCCCAGAGACCCTCCAAGGAGAAGACCCTGAGGCACTCACTGTATGGTGCAGGGCGGGCGGGTGTCCTTCTGCCGTCGAGACTTCCAGGGAGCTGCAGTGTGGAACTAGAGAGAGAGTTCAGTGCACGAGAACAGCCACAGTCCTGGCACGGAGCCTCCCGGGGCTGTTCCCTTTTCTCCATCAGGATCTGCTGGCCCTGGGACATCTCCAGCCCTGCTGCTGCTAGGAGGAGTCTGTTGCCAGCAACAGCAAGGCTGGTGAGGCTCAGCACAGAGCTGAGCGTGAGGAGCACGGATCCTTCCCCTAAGGGGGATGAAGGGATGCAGCAGCAGCCCCTGTGCTGTCTCACACATCCTGCTGATTCCTGTGGCACTTCCACCTCATCTCAGTGGGCACCTCACAGCCTTAAACCTCAACTTCAGTTTCATCAATGTCCCACAGCTCACAGCTCCCCGCTCCTCCACACCCATCACCTCCGGGACTCACCTGCAGACCCTTGTTGTGCTTCATTCCATGGAGCTCCTTCCTTCCATGATTTAAATAGCTGTGAGAAGAAGACAACACCACCAGCTGCAACACACAGCAAGGAAACGCCCGACTGCTCTGCCTTGGTGCACGGGCACTTATTTGGGCCCCTTCTGTCCCTATTCCCCAGGTGCCTCAGCTCATGGTGTCCCAGAACTTCCACCTAAATTAAAGGCCTCTACATTGAAGAAATTCCCAGCCAAATACAGCACCCAGGAGGTTTTGTTCCTTCGTGCTGGATGAAGGCTCCAAGGGCTGCCTGGTGCTGATGCAGACTGGAGCACGCCCCCAACAAAACACACCAGGGAGTCAAATGCACCTCACACACAGACACATCCTCCCAGGGGATGTCACAAAACCTCCTGAACGCTCGATTTCAGGAGAAGCCAAACCAGCTCCACATTGCGCAGGACTGGAAAACAGAAACTTCCATGAAAGCAAAGCAGAAGCATTTGTTCATGGATAGAGGGTGGCTGCAGAACCTCCCACACACCACAGGGTGCTGGAGGCTCAGCAGCACCCAGCCCAACATCCTGCCAGGGAACACAAGCGTCCCTTTCTTCCTGAGAACCAAATGATGTTATCAGGAATATTTGCATTTTCCTTTTGACCTGGGAGCTGCACCAGGGGAGGTTTGGATGGAGCTGAGGAACAATTCCTGCCCCAGAGGGTGCTCAGGCATCGGAACAGGCTGCCCAGGGCAGGGCTGCAGTCACCATCCCTGCAAGTGTTCACACAGCGTGGAGACGAGGCCTCAGTGCCATGGGGTAGTGGTGGCCTTGGCAGTGCTGGGAACAGTTGGACTGGATGAGCTTAAAGGGCTTTTCCAACCTGCTTGATTCCATGATTCTATGTCTAATAGTTTCCAGACATTAACCTGTCTCTGCTTCTCATTTGCTTTGTCCCCCTCTTCCCTCAGCTTTTTGTTCACCCCCCAATCCACCCCCCACCGAGGCCATGGAAGCTGCTCACCAAACCCCCTCCACTCACTTGAGCTTTTTGAACCTCTCGAAGCCCGCAGCCACGTACTGGCACCCGTCCTGCAGGTCCCCCAGCCCCGCCACGCAGCTGCCGTGCCGGGGGGTGTAGAGGTTCCTCACGGCCACGGGTGCATCGATGCTCTTGGTCACCTCGTTCAGGAAGGCTTCCAAGGTCAGGAACCGCCGCTGGTTCACCACAAACCTCCTCCCGGGGAAGAAGGGGTCACCGTTGCGATACACAAGCACGCTCTTGGCTGGAGGTGCCAGGGCTAAGCCACGGGAGCTCATCTCGCAGGGGTCAAGCAGAAGCCCTGCTGCCCACACACAGAGCAGTGTAGGGAGTGGAGAAGAGCTCCACTGAGCCCAGACCCTCGGATCAGCCACCCTCAGGCTCCACTGTCCCTTCCCAGCGCTGCCTGGTGTGAGTGCCTGTCTCCATGGATGCAGGCCCAGCTGGAGGAAGTTGTGGGGCCGCCTGGAGGCCACAGCAAACAACCCGAAGAGCAGCTTTCGATTTGAAAACCAGGAACCAAACGGCTCTTGAACGCTCAGACACCCAACACTGCGAGCTCCCTCACCAGGCACTGTGGCCACCAGGCTCAGATGAACAGAGAAGCTGTGGCTGCCCCATCCCTGGCAATGTTCAAGGCCAGGTTGGACACAGGGGCTTGCAGCAAGCTGCTGCAGTGGAAGGTGTCCTTGCCTGTGGCAGGGTTTGGAGCTGGATGAGCTTTAAGGTCCCTTCCAACCCAAACCACTCTGTGATTCTATGATTAGCAAGCCCGGAGGCACAGTAAGCACCAATATCTTGATGGCAGCAGCTCACGTCTCATCCACAGCAGCACTATCCAGATGCTGTCACCCCTTTGCCATCACTTGCTACCTGCATGAGAAGTGTGATGGGTTTCTGTGCTGTCTGCATCAAACATACACATCTCAGCGGATGCTCCACCCTTTGCACTGAACAGGTTGCTGTGCCTTGAAATGGACCATGGACTCACTTGGCTCTGCCCAGAAGGCAGGAGCCAGCCAGGAATCGACAGAAACAAACATCAGGAAAGCTTTTTATTCACAAACAAATCGGCTTCATTCAGGACCAGAAGGATTCATCCCCCACATGGCAAGAGTGACTGCTCAGGCAGCAGGAATGCAGAGCATTTCCACAGTAGACTTGGGGTAAAGAACCACAGCACCACATGAAAAGTCCCTTTCTGAGGGGCCCTGAATGCTCCTGGACTAGAGGAACAAAGCTCCAAACCCCACAGGTCCTTACTTGCCACCTCAAGCACCAGTCCAGGTCACTCTGCCACACAGAGAGATGCTACAATGGCCATCCATACACGAGTTGGGAACCAAGCCTCATGTCCTGAAGGTCAGATTTGATGTGCAGCCACCTCAAATAGACAGCTCAGACACTGGTATGAATCACACACAGGTCAGCACAGAAGAGCTTGTTCCTGCAGGTTGGAAGCACCTTCTGCCTTCAGGCATTTTAGTTCCACCACAAGCAATGAGCTGGTCAGAAAGAGCCTTCTCTAAGCAGCAGCCCTCCTAAGCTTGTTTTGCCCCTAGGACCATCCAGCCTAGCCAACAGAAATAAGGTTCTTGTAGAAGGAGGTCTCACTGAGACCCCCTCCAGGCCACACAACCACCTCCAGGCTTCCCAGTGATGTCTAACCCCTGCTTTGGCCAAATAGTCCCATTTAAAAGAAACAAAAGGCTTTCTTGCAACATTCACCTGAAGTGGCACACGTCAATCCAGAAAGCTGGAGTTCCCCAGAGCTGCTGCTGTCCATGAGGGCCACGTCACAACGCAGGTGCTGCAGCTCTGCAGCTTCTCCACACCAATACAAGTGCCCTTTATGCTCAGGACTGCCCTCCTCCAGGAGTCCCCAGCCTCTGCTTCAACGTCAAGAACTGCAAGAGAAAGAAAACCAAGCATTCATGATTAAATCCCAGAGGTCTCTGAGGAGGAAGGCAGCCCCCCTTGCACATCAGCCAGCAGGATCGCAGCACTTGGCCAGAAGATGCACAAGTGCCCCCTTTCAAGCAGTGCAAAGCCACCCAGTGCCTGGGTTCAGAGCACTGCATTGGACAAACAGGGTGGTTAAAGCAGCAACAGCCCTGCAGCAGGCAAGGAGCAAAGCCTGTAACCACATCCAGACACCTCTTGTTCCCCTTTATCATTCCTTTTGGGCTTCTTTTCCCCTAGAGAAGGAAAACTGAAGGGTGCTGGCATCTTCCAGCCCAACTCCTGGGCAACTGATCCAGCCCCACTCAACCCCAGCCCCACCACTCTGCCCCACTGCGTTAGAAAGGGTAGGGCATTACGTTTTTACGGCTGACAATAGCTTGTTCCAACCACAGCAGCTCCATGACCAAGTGGTTTCGGTAGGACTGGAGACCAGAGCGAGTCTGAGGAAGTTCCTTTATGTCCACAAGTGGAATTTCTGCCAAGAAATGGACGAATAACCCATTAGCAGAACAAAGGCTCCCACTGCTGCCTCCCCTGCACCGAGCTGCTCCAGCTTCTCCAAGGTATTTCCAAGGTTTTGGGTTCTCTACCTTGCTGCTGGTGCTCACCAGCAGGTCCCTGAGCCCATGCAAGAGATCACAGCTCCTGGCTCTTACCCAGGTAGGCTCCAAGGGACTCTGCCTCCAGGCCAGAGGACATGTTGCTGTCGTTCTGCCAGTCCTTGCTCCCAGCTGGGGGACTGCACCCCTTTTCAGGGTGCTCATCAGCATCAGCCTCGAGATTCAGGGGGGTCTCTGCATCTCCTGCACCCGTGGGGCTCAGCTCCTTCTCACTCAGCAGCTGGGCTGTAGGATTCATGCTGCTGCAGCCCCGGTCCTGCTCTGGCTCAGAAGCATCCAGCTCCTCCTGTGTTTTTTCTGTGCTGGCTTTGTCACCTGGTGCAGCCTCACGTGGATTTGAACACTTCCCTTGTGCTGGCTCCTAAAGGGGCAACATGCAAGAGACTGATACATATGGAAGAGACAACGACCTGCACGGTGGCCCCGCTGTGAGCCAGGGGCTCTGTGCACCACCATCAGCAGTGCTGGGACACTGACGTGCTCCAGGCTGGAACTCTTTAAAGGGCTTTCCTTCCAGATGTGCCCACCACCATCAGCAGTGCTGGGACACTGACGTGCTCCAGGCTGGAACTCTTTAAAGGGCTTTCCTTCCAGATGTGCCCACCACCATCAGCAGTGCTGGGACGCTGACGTGCTCCGGGCTGGAACTCTTTAAGGGGCTTTCCTTCCAGATGTGCCCAGACCCCTGCAGAGCAGGGCTCAGCTGCTGCAGTGCATGGCCACGGGAGATGGGAGACCCACGGAATCACCTGCACTGCCTGACTGGAGGCTGAGCTTCACCCGGGGGTAGAAATCCTCCGGGCACAAGCCAGGGAGACTCTTCCAGGCAGCACTAAGTAACCACTGGATTTGTGTGGTAGAACTACAGGTTCCTGCTGCAGAAGCACCCTCTGCACGGCTGCCCCCCTACCGCCCCCCCCCCTCGGAGGGGCTGCATTAGCTCAGCCCGGGCCGGCACACAGACCTCGGGGATGAAGACAGGCCGGGGCAGGAGCCGTCCCCTCCACTGCAGCTGGCTCAGGTCTCCTTCGATCTCCAAAACCACCTCCTCGAACGCTGCCCGCAGGCTCTGAAACCGCTTCCGCACCAGGTAACCCCTGACACAGGCCTGTGGGAACAGGCCGAGGGTGCCCGTGGGGCCGGTCACAACCCCCCCACCCCTGCCACAGAGACCCGAAGCCCTTCAGTGGCCCCACAGCCACCCACAGCACCCAGCCCGGCGCGCAAGGAGCAGACGGGTCTGGAACCACGGCAGCTTTTAATGAGGCAGCGCCCGATGCACGGCCCCTGCCAACCCCATCCAGCCGTGCCCCCATCCAGCCGTGCCCCTGTCCAGCTGTGCCCCCGTCCCCATCCAGCTGTGCCCCATCCAGCTGTGCCCCCACCCAGCCGTGCCCCTGTCCAGCTGGGCCCCCGTCCAGCTGTGCTCCCATCCATCTGTGCCCCCACCCAGCTGTGCCCCCACCCAGCTGGCCCCCCTCTTCTCCCTGACGTGCCCCCCACGGGCGCCCCCTCAGCCACGCTCCCCCGCGGCTGTTTCCCCCCCGGCCCCGGCCCCGGCCCCGGCCCCGGCCCCGACCTGCAGGCGGGTCACGGCCCGCAGCAGCCGCCGCCATCCCTCTGCCTCCGCCTGCGCCCACAGCCCCTCAGCCGCCATGGCCCCAGCGCCCAGGCGCCGGCTGATGGCGTCATCCGGCCGCGGCACTGCCAGGCCCCGCCCCCTCGCCGCTGTGGGCCGCACCAAGATGGCGGCCGGGGGGGTCCTGGTGCGGTGGCTCCGGTGTCGCCGGCCCCGCCGCGGGGTCTCCGGGGGCCGGGCCGGGCGCGGGGTCAGGCCGCGGAGTCCTCGGGGTCGGAGCTCTCGGCCAGGTGCAGCTTCTGGCTGAGCGTGGGTCAAGGGAGAGCGCAAGGGGGACGCGGGGCCCTGCCTCCATCACCAGTGCCACCATCATCACCGTCACCAAGGCCACCATTGCCATCATCGTCACCATCACCATCACCACCATCATCACCATCACCAGTACCACCATCATCACCATCACCACCACCACCATCATCACCATCACCACCACCACCATCATCACCATCACCAACGCCGCTATCATCACTGTCACCATCATCATCACCATCACCAGTGCCACCATCGCCACCATCATCACCATCACCACCATCATCACTGTCACCAAGGCCACCATCACCACCATCATCACCATCACCAATGCCACTATCATCACCATCGTCATGTCACCAGTGCCACCACCGCCATCGCCACCACCATCATTATCACCACCCCTGCCACCATTGTCACCCTTGTTACTGTCACCATTACCACCACCACCGTCAGTTGCTATCACCACTGCCATCATCACCACCCCATCATCACCACCACCACTGCCACCACCACCATCACTTGCCACTGTCATCATTGCCACCATCACCATCAGCACCATCACCATTGCCACCATCAGCACCACTGCCACCAATGCCACTGTCACCACAGCCACCGTTGCCACCACCATCACTGCCACCATTACCACTGCTACCACCACCATCACTGCCACCATTACCACTGCTACCACCACCATCACTGCCACCATTACCACTGCTACCACCACCACCACCACTGCCATACCACCATCGCCCAGGATACATGGAGCTGCTGAGCTCCTCCAGCTGCAGGAGACAAAGGCAGAGGTCAAGGCACCGGTGGCACAGCCGGGGCCAGCAGGGTCCCCGGCCACAGCATCAGGAGCAGGCAGGTGGGGGACACTCACGTGCGCCAGCAACTGGTCCAGGTTCCGGTCGGCCGCCGCCTTCTTCTGCTCCTCAGGGAGCTCCTCCACGCAGCCATCGAGGCCGAAGTGGAGCCGTGCCAGCTTCTCCTGCATCTCCCGCACGTGCTCGAGCTGCTGGAAGGAGCACTCCTTCCCTGCGCCACGCACGGAGCCGTCACAGCCCAGCAGCCCTGGTCCCCCACCCGGGCTCTGCCCCCGGCCCCAGCCCCTCACCAAAGGCCTGCAGCTTTCCCGAGTGGAAGTCGCTGAGGAGGCTGAGCAGCCCCCCCTCCATCTCGCACACGTCGGACACGTCGGTGAGGAAGCTGTGCTGCAGCGGGGCCCCCCGCGCCACCACCGTGCCGCGCACCCGCTCCTTGCTCGTCCTGCACAGGGAACAACAGACACTGGTGTCACCTGCATCAGGTGCACAGGCACTGGCGTCAGCTGCACCGGGTACACGGACTGGTGTCACCCATACCAGGTGCACAGACACTGGTGTCACCCGTACTGGGCACAGACACCGGTGTCACCCGTACTGGGCACAGACACCGGTGTCATCCATACCGGGTACACAGACACTGGTGTCACCCGTACTGGGCACACAGACACTGGTGCCACCTGTACCGGGCACACAGACCCTGGTGTCACCCGCACTGGGCACACAGACACCAGTGTCACCCATACCAGGCACACAGACACCGGTGCCACTCGTACCGGGCACAGAGACCCTGGTGTCACCTGTACCGGGTACACAGACACTGGTGTCACCCATACCAGGTGCACAGACACTGGTGTCACCCGTACTGGGCACACAGACACTGGTGCCACCTGTACCAGGCACACAGACCCTGGTGTCACCCGCACTGGGCACACAGACACCAGTGTCACCCATACCAGGCACACAGACACCAGTGCCACCCGTACCGGGCACAGAGATCCTGGTGTCACCTGTACCGGGCACACAGACACTGGTGTCACCCGCACTCGGCACACAGACACCGGTGCCACCTGTACCGGGCACACAGACACCGGTGCCACCTGTACCGGGCACACAGACACTGGTGTCACCCTCACTGGGCACAGACACCGGTGCCACCCGTACTGGGCACACAAACCCTGGTGTCACCTGTACCGGGCACACAGACACTGGTGTCACCCATACCAGGTGCACAAACACTGGTGTCACCCACGCTGGGCAGACACCGGTGCCACCCATACTGGGCACACAGACCCTGGTGTCACCTGTACCGGGCACACAGACCCTGGTGTCACCCTCACTGGGCACAGACACCGGTGCCACCCGTACTGGGCACACAGACCCTGGTGTCACCTGTACAGGGCACACAGACCCTGGTGTCACCCGTACCGGGCACACAGACCCTGGTGTCACCTGTACTGGGCACACAGACACCGGTGTCACCTGTACCAGGTGCACAAACACCAGTGTCACCCATGCTGGGCACAGACACCGGTGCCACCCGTACCGGGCACACAGACCCTGGTGCCGCCCGCCCCGCAGGGCTGCACGGTGCCGGCTCTTCCGCTGCCCCAGCACTGACCGCCTGAGCCGGGCGCGCTGGCGGGGCGAGGGCAGGGCGGGCAGCGGCAGCGCCAAGGACGTGCTCCTGCTGGGGGGCAGCGGCTGGGCCAGGCAGGGCCGGGGGCTGCGCTTCCTCCTCCGCTCCTCCATGGCGATGGGGGCAGGGACCCTGCGTGGGACAGACACGGCTGCTGGTGGCTCCCGCTGGTGTCCTCGGGCAGGACCCGTCCGCCCCGAGCTGGCGCTACCGAGGTGCCCGCAGGGAGCAGCGCCCGGAGCGGAGCCACCCGCCTGCCTCAGCCCATGGCATTCTCCCAGCGTGCGGAACAAAGCCCCGGGGCTCAGCCGCAGCCGGGAGCCGCCGGCCGCTTCCCAACGGGAAGGAGGATTCCGGCCACACGCACCGGAGCCCAGCGACCCCGCGGCGAGAGCGGCCCCGAGCCCGCCGGGACCCGGCACCCCCCGAGCCCCGCTCGGGGCCCTTCAGTGGCCGCAGGACCGGGATGGGGGAGCCCCTTTGCCACGCAGCGGGACTGACCTGCGCCAGGCGCCGGCCCAGCCTGCGGAGCGCACCCGGCCGCGGCCCCTCCGGACACTCGTCCCGCAAGCCCGGGGCTGGGATTTGCATTTAAAGGGAAAGGGAACTTCCTCCGGCGTGTCCCGGGGCCGCCCCGCTCCCAGCCTCAGCACCGGCTCCATGTGGCGCTGGGGAGAGGGCAGGATGCGGCCATGGCCCCCGGGTCCCCCCTCTGATCGCAGGAGCCGGCTCTGCAGGGACGAGCCCCGTCGCCCGGCGCACACAGAACCGCTTCAGGCGATCAGTGCGGGGGTGATGCCAGCACCGGGCCCAGCCCGACACCATCTGGATGCCATCAGGGCACCCGGGGTGGCAGCGGCTGGTGCAGGACACGGCGCTCGGGGGCCCCATGGCTCACAGGGAGGGCGAGCGGCACAGGAGGTGCCAGGGACAAACCCAAAGCCCGGGTCCCTCCCGGCCTCCCCCCTTCGTGCCCCACAGCCCAAATCTTCACACCCCCCCTCCCAACACGATGAGCAAGAAACAAGAGGCAGCAGCAGTGAGGGCAAGGGGGTTTCTATGGGGTACGAGGATACAGGAGCCCCTGCAGGGGGGCTGTGTCCTGTATCGGGGAAAGGAAACCAAAAGGGGTTCAGTGCTTTCCTAAGAGGTTTTAGGAAGGGAAGCCCAGAGCCCGGCTGCTGGGAAGGGCCGGTCCCTCCAGGCCGGGGCCACATTCACTTGCAGAGGGGCTCCTTCCAGAGGCCAACGTGTGCCTGTGCTGGAGGAAGCAGCGCTGCTGAAGCCACATTCGCTCCATTGGGTGCTGAAGGCTGCGGCCCTGCGGAGGCTCCAGAGACCCCGTCTCTGCTCTTTGTTAGCCCTGGGGTCCCTGTGGAGGAAAAGGGGATGCGGAGGTGCAAGAGCAGCCCCGGTGCTGGGAGAGAAACCAAAGCTGCTGCACTGCGAGGAACAGCTCCCAGCCAAAGGAAGGCAACGCTGAAAGGAGGCTGTCGCGAAGCGGAGCTGCAGGAGGAGGTTTGCAGCGAGCTGAGGTCTCCCAAAACAACAGGGAAAAGAGAAAGCCTTGAGGCAACAAGAGCTCCCCCAGGCCTGTGCCAGCAGCAGGCTCCAGTCTGTCCATCACAGCGCAACACAACAGGGTCCTTGGCGTCAGTGCTTCCCCCTGCGGGCAGAGGCTGGGGTGAGGCTCTTCTGAGAGAGCAAAGGAGGAAAGGAAAGGGGGGAGCTCCGACAGCACCAGCACGGCCAGGCCTGAGGGTCCATGGGGGTCTGACGGCAGCCCCAGCGGTCCCAGGGATGAGGTTACGCAGCAGTCTCACGGAGCAGATGCGGGGTTTATCCTCCTGGAGCCCCAGCTCCATGGACCTCCAAGAGCGACCGCTTGGCACCGAGGGATGGAGCTGGGGCAGGGGCACAGGGGCTGAGGTGGAAGCTCCTCGGTTCCCCTCGCACGCCCGATCGCACGCCCGGGGGCAAAACACTGGGGAAGGAGAGCTTTGGGTTAACTGTTTAATACACTTGTGCACGTGTGCGTATAGCAAAGAGGCAACTGTGAATTCATAAGGCTACTGAGACACCGGCGGGCCCTGGGGAGAACCGGGCCCTCCCCCCCAGCTGCTCGTTCTGTCCGTTTCACACGCAAAACCCACACAGAGGAGGGGAAACGGCCTCGTTCGCTGCCAGCCAGAGCATGGAAACCCAGGAGCAAGTCCAGGAGCCTGCCCCTTCCCGACCCGGAGGAGGGAGGGAGGGAGAATCAGTGCTGGGAAATGCTTCGTTTCTCCCTGCTTGGCTCGGTTCCTTTCACTCCATGTGAGAGCGCTGCTGCATCCAGATGTTCCCGCTGGGCCAGGGCAGATCCAGGCACCCCCTTTTCCTGAGGTGCATGAGGTTTTTGGGGAGCTGCAGCCTGCCCATGCCAAGGTCTCCCAGTGAGAGGGTCGATCAGTTGAGCTCCATATATTAGTTACTCACGCACACGCAGGGTGGGTCGTTCTCGGTTTCACCTATGGCTGCCCTGCATGTATTTATATATCATATATATATATATAAAATCTTAAAAACCCTCCAAAAAACCTAAGCTAGGAAATCTCAGGTCCCCTCAGGGCCTCTCCTGCCCATCCCAAGACCTGGAGAGGGGCATCAGATGGAGTCTATGGAAGCACTGACGTTGCCCTCCCTCGCCCTACCTGTGCTGGCGCACAGCAGGCTCAGTCAGCGCCCCGGCTGCCTCCCTCAGTCCCGCTCTGCCCCAAGGCTCCTATGCTCAGTTCTCCCAAGCTCTCGGGTGCAGGATCCGGGCTCTGTGTTGGCTTTCCCAAGTTCAGGCATTCCTCAGCTGGAGCCACCACGTCCGAGCTGTCCCGAGGGGGGTCCTTCAGGGGCTCGCCCAGGTCGGTGTCCGCCCGGGGCACGTGGGCACACAGGTCCTGCACCTTCTTGTTGAGGTCGTTGCGCTCGGTCTGTAGAGCTCGGCACAGCTTCTCCAGGCGCTGGATTTTCACCTGCAGCCCCTCTAACTCTTTGTCCCGCAGGGTTTTCTGCAAAGAGAGCAGCGGCTCAGGCTCCTTCAAGCACAAAGGCAGAGCTGAAACCCCAGGGGGAGCCCAAGGGAGGCGAAATACTCGTGACGGAGCCAACGTTTGGCATCCAAAGAACCTAGGACCACGGAATCAATGAGGTTGGAAACGCCCTTTAAGATCATCAAATCCAACCGATGAACCCCAGCACTGCCAAGACCACACCAAACCTGATGCTGCCATCACGGCTGCTTTCTTCCTGTGCTCCCAGAGGCCAACTGCTGCAGAGACTGAGCTCTTCCACCCACCTCTGCACTAACCACGGGCCAGAGGGCTCCCAGCACCGCGGGCAGGGCACAGGCCAGCCGGAGCCTCCTCACCTCTTCAGCCATCTCCAGCAGCGCCTTGTTGCTGCTCTCCCAGCGAGAGCGGTACATCGTGGTCTCCTTCTCCAGCTTCTTGATCTTCTTCGTCATCTACAGGTGATGAAAAGGGGACAAGTAAGGCACGGGCAGAGCGCTGCGCTCTGTGACATCCCACACGGGCACCCAGGATCCCAGTGTGAGCCTTGGGCCTGGGAAACGTCTCCCCGTCTCCTGCAGCCAGCTCCAAGCACTGAGCAGCAACCAACAGCGCAGGGGACAGGGCTGTGCTGCTCGTCCCTGCTGCAAAGCTGGCAGCGACCTCGTGGCTGATTTTAGCACCAGCAATCCCACAGCAGAGAGCGGCAGCTCTGCAGCTCCGGGTAGCACCAAGATGTAAGCAGGGAGCCTGGCCGGGAGCAGACGCGGTACTCACCTTCTCCATCTCCTGCTTAAACGTGGTGAACACTTCACTGCTTTTGGAAAGGGTGTTCTGGAATTCTTCAAACTTCTCCGTGTAGAGAGCCAGCTGTGGGGAGAGGCAGGGTTACAGCCAGCACAGGGCCCGTGGCTGCCAGCAACTGAGCTGGGGTCTCCTGACTGGACTTTGTGACAAACTGGGAGCTGGAGCTGCTCTGCCAGCGGCAGGGAGCAGGGAATGTGGGAGAACTCTTTCCTAGGGAAGGATCCTGGGACTGAGGGGTGCCACAAACACCCCCTGGCCTTGGCAAGAGGCTGGGTCTGATGCAGTGATCCCAGCACTGCTCCCAGCGCTGGGAAAAGCCAGAAGGCTGAACTGCTGCAGGAATTCTCTGCTCACACCACGCCAACACAGGCTCCCCAACACCAAACCCAGCAGCACTCCTACTCCTGCCCCTGTGCTTCCCACATGAGGGAACTCTGGGTGGTTTCCTGCTTAGGGAGAAAGGAAAAAGACCCCAAACCAACAATGAGGCTGAGCACAGAGTCCAGGTACCTCCCACCTCATCAATCAGGTAACATCTCACCTGCTGCTTGAGATGGGTCTCCTGTTGCTTCATCAGCTCACACATCCTCTGGGATTCCACAGCTTCCTTCAGCAGCTGAGGAAGAGCAAAAGCAGTTACCTGGCTGCTGCATGGCCTGCAGACAGGAGCGGGCTTGGAGGCACTGGAAAAGCAGAGCAGGGCTCCAGCCCCACTCCGGAATCCTCTGGGGGGATTAGTCCTTGCTGGGCGTGCAGGAGGCCTGGGATGGCCTGATCCCAACTGGGCTCTGCACCAGGGATCCCACAGGGACAAACCACCCCAGAGGGACAAGGCCAAAAGCATTCACAACCATGAGAGAGCTGCTCTAAGACTTACAAAGTCCTTCTCCCGCTGGTGTCTCTCCTCTGCCTCCTTTAGCATTTCCTGTGCCTGCTGGAGCTTGGCATCCACCAGCTGCTGCTGCAGGTCCTTGTGTTTGAACACCTTATCGATGTGCTGCCAAGGGAACGGCACCACCCGGTCACCAACACACCCAGCCCAGGCCTTGCTGCCCAGGCAGCAACCCCAGAGCCCCCTTCTCCCCTCTGGCAGCAGCAGAGCCCCCCCCCCATGGAGCCCAGCCCCACATCTCCCACCTCCTCCCGCAGCTCATACTGCTCGATGAGCTTCTTGAGCCTCTCTGCCAGCTCCATGTTCTCCTGGCGCAGCTTGGAGTTCCTCTCGTTGTGCTGCTCCATCTGGAGCTGGATGTCGTTCAGCGTCACCTGGAAGTGGGATGTCACCTCCTTCCGCTTCTCCTCCTCCTCCCGTGCACGCTGGACACCTTCCTCCTGCGGGAGGAGGGCAGGGACGCATCAGCCTCTGTGCCTGAGCCCAAACTTGGGATGCTCAGAGCTCCCCCGGCCTCCCACCATTGCTTCCATCAATGAGGAAGTCACTTTGGGCCTTTCCCCAGTGACACACCCTGAAATAACACCTGGGCACCGCAGGCAGGGATGGTTTAAGAGCAGAACCAAAGCTCTGCCCTGGCTCTGGGTGAAGGGAAACGTGCCAGAGCGGCTGATCCAAGGGCTGAGGTGAAGCAGCAGCCAGGAGACACCTGCCTTGAGGGTGCGGTTGTGCCTCTGGAGCTCGCGGCACAGGCTCTCCAGCTTGCTGCGGGCCAGGATGGCTTTGCTGTGCTCACTCTGCAGGTGGTCCTTCTCCTGCACCAGCTGCGTCTGCTTCTTCTGCAAGATCTTCATCTGCTTCTGGGAGTTCCGGTGCTCCTCCAGCTGCGACAGGGGAGCAAAGGGCACAGATGCAGCCAGACAGAGCAGAGCATCCCAAGGAGGGACACGGGGATCACCGAAACGCTCCCTGTGCTCTGAGAGGAGCAGATCTGCTCCTGTCCTTGCTTAGGCTTCTGCAAACAGCGCTGCCTGCCCGGACCCAGCACCATCATTCCTCTACTGCTTGGATCTCCGGCAGTGCAGGGATCCCAGGTCACGCACTGCAAAGCTGCACGCGTGCTCCTGGACTGCTCCTTGCACAATCAAGACAAACCCCAAGTATCTACAAGCATCTTCTGCCTCCTCACGGCTGCAGCGTCCTCGCCCAGCCCCAGAGCCTGGAACGAAGCAGCACTCACCAGCTCAGCGTATTTCTTGCACAGGGCTGCAAGTTTCTCCTCTGGCGTGCTCAGGGTGTTCAGGGTCTGCATCAGCAAAGTGATCTCTTTGCCTGGAGGGAGACATGTGATTAAAACAACAGCACTCACACAGCAGCCTGGCTCCTGAGAGCAGAGAGACAAACCAGGCCTCACAGCCCTGCCCTGGCCAGAGCTACATCTCCAGAGCCTTCTCAGGCCTCTGCCCCACGGATTTCAGCTGAGCTGGGGAGAGACCTGGTTTTCCAAGTGGGAAACCAGCACTGGGCTGGCTACAGAGGGTTGTATCCAGGAGAGACCACCACAGACCTGTGAGGCTGCAGCAGCACCCAGGAGCAGTCAGTGCCTTTGCAGCACTCAGTACATGTCCTTACACAGGATCACAGACTGGTTTGGGTTGGAAAGAACCTTAAGCTCATCCAGTTCCAACCCCCCTGCCATGGGCAGGGACACCTCACACTAAACCAGGTCACCCAAGGCTCTGTCCAGCCTGGCCTTGAACACCACCAGGGATGGAGCGTTCACAACCTCCCTGATGCAGAATGCTGCAGCATTCCCAAGTGCTCCTGAGGGCAACTGAAGCCGTGTAAAGTCCATGACCCACTGAAGCTCTCGGGCCGGGAGCATCACCAGAGCAGGGAACCTCTTACCCAGGCCTTTGGCTTTCTTCTTCTCCTGCGCCTTCTTTTGATCCCGCTCCCCACACTCCTCCCCAGGCCGGAACTCTTCGGTCCCTTTGGGGCTCTCCTTCTCCCCGTTCATCTCGGGGCCGCCCGGCTCCTGGTCCCCGTTCCTCGGGGACTCGCTGAGGCCCTTCTCAGGCTCCTCAGGCTCCGGGGGCTCACTCTGGCCCCCGTCCTCCCCCGGCGCCTCCTGCCTGGCATCCACGCAGTACGTGTTCAGGATGTCCTCGAGCTGCCTGCTCAGCTCCTCGGAGACGTCGCGCACAGCGGGCCGGGAGGACTTGGTGTCCTCTTGTGCCAGAGGAGCTGTGGGAGATGGAACACAAAGCATGAGATTCCCCTCCATTACAGAGCCCCTCTGGGCTCTATAAGCACAGGGCAAAGGGAAGGGTTCCGGAGCACCCCATGGCACCGAGGGGTTGAACTTCAGCAACATGGAATGATTTGGGTTGGAAAGGACCTTAAAGCTCATCCGGCTCCAACCCCTGCCATGGGCAGGGACCCCTTCCACTAGAGCAGCTTGCTCCAAGCCCCTGTGTCCAACCTGGCCTTGAGCACTGCCAGGGATGGGGCAGCCACAGCTTCTCTGGGCACCCTGTGCCAGCGTCTCAGCACCCTCACAGAGAACAACTTCTCCCTTATCTCCAACCTGAACTTTCCCTGTTTCAATCTGAACCCATCACCCCTTGTGCCATCGCTCCAGTCCCTGATGAAGAGCCCCTCTCCAGCATCCTTGTAGCCCCCCTCAGACAGTGGAAGCTGCTCTGAGGTCCCCCCATGCAGCTCCTCCTCTCCAGGCTGCACATAAGCTGCTTTGTTCCGCTGCGTCCCAGCCAGCTGCCCTGACAACGCTGGGGCACCCCCACAGCCACTGCTTCGATCAGGAAGCACGACCAAGCCCCTGGTATCTGTCAGGAGCAGGAACTCCCCTTCCTCCCCACCACCCGTGAGGGAACGCAGGTTGTGTTTGAGCCTTCCCTCCCAGAAACCCCTTCCCAATATCCCCAAAGCCAGGTGTTTTCTGTGACAATAGATCTGGAGGCTGGGTCAGCCTCCTCCTTATGTATAAGAGCAGCTGCACTGCCTCTTGTCCCCAGCTGCACGGGCTTTGGGGAAGAGCAGCCAGGAGGCACTAAAGCCTCTCCAGATGAGCCTCACAGCAGCCGGTTACCAAAGGAACCCTGTTTGCTACCCAGGAGCCATCACAGTACAATGGCAGGGTTGCTTTGAACCACTTGATTAACGTGAACAGAATCAAGCCTGGCCCAGCCCTGGGGCCTCCCCACCTTCGGGGGGTGCCGTAGCCTCCGGTGCATCGCCCTCCTCCAGCACCAGAGCGCTGCTCATCCTGGGGGAGCTGGGAGGCCGTGGGGCTGCTTTGGTCTCACCGCCTTGGTTCTTCATCGTGAGCTTCCTCCTGGCTCAGCCTGGAAAAGCCTGAAGGAAGGGAAAGAGAAGCAGGGGCCGTTTGTGAGCAGCAACGCTTTGATTTGAGGAGCCATCCGCCAGGGCTTGCTCTCGGCAGCGGCTGCCACCCACGGCTCTTGTGCTGAGGAAGCATCCTTGTGTTTCAGTGTCCCCCTTCCCAGGACCAGCTCCTGCGTTAAGGATAACTCCTTTTCCACCCAAGGAAAGCTGAAACCGCCTCTTCTAGAGCGAGGCAGCACCTCCGGATGCGCACACAGCGCAAAGCCTTCCTCATGCGCTGGGCACAACCTCCCCTCCATGCCCCCTGCGTTTTACCCTTGCATTCCAACCCCAGAGCAGCCTCCGCTGACAGGGACCGGGGCAGCAGAGAGCTCAGCACCTCCGCCCCGAGCGGAGCCCGGAGGGCAGGAACGGCTCCCGGGGCGCAGGGCACAGCCCCGCTCCGTAGCGGTTCCGCGGCGAGGGGGTGAGGGGGGTGGGGGGAACCGCACACGTGTCCGCTCCCGCCTCCCGCTCCGGCCCCGCTTTTCCCTCTGCCGGGGGCTGACACCGGGCCCCGGCGATGCTCGGACCCGGCCTCGCTCCCTCGGTGCCCCCCTCAGCACCCCCTGCCCTTGGCACTGACACCGCGGGACCGGCCGAGACACCCCCCCCCCAATCAGTCCCGTACCTCATTAACCCCTGTGCCCACCCCCCCCGGGCAGGGCCCGGCCCCACCGCCCCCCCCCCGTTAACATCGCCCACGAGCCCCCCAGCCCCGCGCTGACGTCACGCACGCACCCCCGTGGCGTCACCGCCAGCGCTCTGACGCACGGCTCCGCTCTCTCCTCAGCCAATCAGCGCGCAGAGCCCGGCGGCACCGCGGTGCACCGGAGGGGAAGGGTGTGTGGTGGGGGTGGTGGGGAGGGGGGGGTGGGGGAGGGAGCGGCCGCTCCCCGGTACCGGTGCCCGGTGCCGCCGCCCCCCGCCGGGCTCCGCGCTGAAGGAAGCGGCTCCGGCCCGGGCCTCCCACCGGCCGCGCAACGCGCAAGCGCCGAGCCGCGCCGCCGCCCAATCAGCGGCGACGGAGTGCGGGGCATGCCGGGAGAACGGCGAACTACAACTCCCGGCGTGCTTTGCGCGTGACCTTGGCTGCCCTACGGACTACGATTCCCAGCATGCCCCTCGCTTCCCTTCCCTTGCGCCTACAGCTCCCAGAGTGCCCCGCGGCGGGCCCGCACGGGCGCAGTTCGCCGGTCAAAGCCTCGTCCCGCGGGGCTGGGGCCGGTCAATGCGGGCCGGGGGAAGCGATGGAAGAGGGTGAGGAGGCGCCAGGGGCTCGCCCAGTGCGGGAGGGAGCCGCGGAGCAGGAGCCAGAGCGCTCGGGTCCTGTTGCTCCTGCCCCGCGGTGCTCCCGTTACGTAAATCACAGCACTTGCGTAGGCAGCAGTAGCGCTGCAGCCCAATCCCATCAACGGTCACGTCTGTGTGCTATAGAAAACACAGCGATGTGCCTTGGTTTGGTCGAATACACACGATGTACCAGCGAGCAGGAGGCACAGCTGGGACCTGGAAGTACCACCCCCTGCCCCCTTCTTCCTCCCCCATCCTCTTTCCCTCCCTCCCCCCACCCCCCCCCCCTTCATCCAGAAGAAAAACCCACGACTCAAACCGTGTTTCTCATGGAAAAAAAAATAGATTTCACGTAAAGCTGAAGGTGGGCTCTCACCGTGGCCACAGGCCCGGGGCTGGAGGCATCAGCAGAAATGCAAACACAGCCTCTGCTTCCCCCTCCCCTCCTCACAGTTATCAGCTTTAGGGGTCTTGTTGCTTCTTTTCTCTCCTTTGTGAATGGTACAAGTAGTTCTTCAAGAAACAGATCACCAAAATACAACAGCTCTATGCCAAGGGAAGGAGCCTTCCCCCAAAAAACTCTTCCCCGGAGTGGGAGAACTTCCCATTTCTCTGTCCATGTACAGTGTATTGCAGGGGACCATGGCCCAGGTGCGAGAGGACTGTCCGCTGAAGGAAGGGCGCAGAAAGGCCAGGGCTAAACTTTGCTCTTGGCAAATTAGAGTCTTTAATAAAGAGTAACATGTGCAAAAAAAAAAAGGAAAAAATAAATCATTAAATAGCTCAACCCAGGGCTTGCAGAATTACCGCTGTCAGAACGCTTACTGCTACTTGTGTTCTTACCCGACCCATCGCTGCCATCTCAATTAAGTACCCGAGTTAAGAAGTGACATTTGGGAAGAGATCACCACAAAGGGGAAAAAAAATAACCCAAACCCAGAGGTGCAATTGCCACCTCCGTGTCCTTCCTCCACCCAGATGCCTGCTTTAAAGACATGGATGCAGCAGCAAAAAGAAAAAGAAGTGTAAGAACATCCCCTTCTCTCCGTCCCGGCAAAGCACTGGTTTAGTTGGTTGAAGGAAGAATTGCTTCCTAAAAGGTGGAGTGGGTGCTTGGCCTCCCGTGTGCAAGAAAGGGATGGGATGATCAGCTGCTCTCGGTTGCTTTCCAGCAAGTTTGTGGTGTTCTGTTCCCTGCCCCGGGCACATTATAGCTGGAAACCTTCCATGGGGGCTTCGGACTGCTGGAAGATGAACTGCTGCTGGTTCTCATCTACCTGGGGAGCCAAAGCAGAGTCATCCTCTACTCCAAAGTAGTGCTCAATCAGGTCAAAGGCCTTCTGGTAGATCTCTTGGTTCTCATGGCTCTGTAGGAACTCTATCTTATCCAAACCTTGGAGGGAAAGAGAAATGGAATGTGATGAAATGAGGGGATCCTGATATTTGCAACCCCACATCCATCCTCCACCCTTCCCCTGTTCACTGCAAGACCTCAGTCTGCATCACATTTGGGGCTGGCGAGCAGCACCGACATATAAAGCTATTCCAGAGCTGCTTGTGGCTTTCCTATCAGGCAGCATTCATGTCTCTTCAATAGCCTGTTTCACTGACACAGCTAAAGCAGCTGCACCCCCAGCTCTGCTGGGGACAAGCCCACATCTCAGTGAGGTTAAACCAAGTGGCACAAGCAGGTTGGTAGTTGCTGGGGGTATGGAGGGGAAGGAAGCAGCGCTTGCCCTAGTAGCCTCCAGTGGAAGGGCAGCAGCAGCTTTCCCTGTCCTAATTAAACCCACCAAATTAAGTTGCTCCAGGGAAAAGTGAAGCCTCTCTGGATTTCCATGGAACATCCACCGTTATAACTGGGTCCTGTTAGAGCAATTTTAGACCTAGAAGTGTCACTTTTTACTTAGCTCAGCTCGTTTCTGATTAATCCTGCTACAAGCCACAATTATCAGCTCGGCTGCAGGTCTAGGAAGCATAGACCAGAAGTAGGATAGTTTTTACTTCCAAGTATTTTGTCCTATGCCCAAATCCTAAGAGTCTAAACACACCACTGGGACAAATCTTGGCTAGTCTGGGGTACACTAAATCCTTTAGCACAGCAGAAAAGCAACAACAGAACTAACAGACACAGTTGTGTTGTTCAAAGCCAACAGCACCAAGGCCACAACCTACCATAGGCCTCCTCAATCAGACTGCAGTATGGGTTGATGCCTGTCCCACTCTGGTTGGCTTCCTGCTCTCCAAGCCTCAGGATGTTCTCCAGTCCGTTCAAGGCCACCTGGACAATCTTGGAGTCCATGACAGTCAGCAGGTCACAAAGAGGCTTGATACAACCCAAGTTTACCAAGTATCTGAAGAGAGAGCACCGGCAACACACACTGCTCAGGATGTGGAATTCAATCTGTCATCAGGTTTGGACATTTAGCCTGGCCTGAGCTCTCTGAAGAGGGAGGGGGAAGCAGATTGGATTTCCTTCTCCTGATTCTGAAGGAAGCTGCAATTCCCAGCTCAGGGCACGATCCAGCTCCAGCTCTGCCTCAGGTACCCTCCCAGAGGTTCTCCACATCACCCCCTTGTCCTTGTCTCACGGTTCCCACAAAGACAAAGCTTCCATACACTAACAGCTGCCCCCAAGAGGAGCCCCAGGGAATACCTGATCTGCTCAGGGGTTCCTCCTGACGTCGCGTTGGTGATAGCCCACGCTGCCTCCTTCCTCGTGCGGAATTCGGCTTTCTGCAAGATCTCTATCAGGACTGGGAAGATGTTTGCATCTATGACTGCCTGGGGAGAGAGCAACGAGAAGGGTTTGAGTTGGCAACGTGACAGAAACCTCCACCTCCATCTGTCAATGCAAAAGATCTTTCCAAGCTGTGCTCTTCAGCAATTCCTCAGCCAAATCCTATTAATGCAAGACGGTCGATCCCACAACCAGCCCACAGCAGACAACCCCTATTACTGCAGCAATACTGGAGCAGTGCTCCCATCACTCATCTGCCTTTATGTAGGGCACGAAAAGGATAAATTACAACTCAACAAGCTCCAGCTTTTCAAAGGGGTACCTCTAACAGAGCAGGGAAATGCAGGGGCTGTATCTGCTCCTGCTCCAGTGATCCAACCTGTGGCACTCATTTCAGCCCAGTCTTTGTTGGTACCATTAAAAGCTTTTCTTAGCTCCGTTGGCAGATGGCTGGGAGCAGCAAATTTGCACATTACTGCAGAATGAGAGATGTGAACAAACCCAGCCTCTGACTGCCAGGGAAAAAAAGCTGAGAACCCTTAATGCTGAGCTCGGAATTGAGGTTCACTGCAGGCAGGCTGGAGAAGACCCTACCTGTATCTGCGCTCTGTTTCCTGCTGTGATGTTGGATATAGTCCAGCAGGCTTCTTTCCTGATTGATTCCTTGGGACTACTTAATAAGTGAAGGAGACAAGGCAGGGCTGAACAGTTCAGAATCACCTTTGGAGAAAGAAAGCAGAAGTGAGATCAGCAGTGTCAGGTCCAGAGCTGGGCACAAAATGAAGCAGGCACTCCAACAGCTGCTGCAGAGGAGGATGAGCCTCAGCAGGAAGAACCTCCCTGTTCCGTGGGAGACAGGCACTTCCCTCACCTGGGTCTGGATGTCATCCCCCGTCACGATGTTACCCACTGCTCGCAGAGCTGGAGAGGCCACTTTGTAGTCGTTGTGCCTGCAGGAGAAACGGCACAAGGACAAAGCCAAGTCTATCAGATCACACACAGGCAGAAGATTCTCTCCCCAGCAACCCATCTGCATTGTCTGCTTACAATCCCTCCCCCTAGCACACGGTAATACTGACACTGAAAACAAAGTCACAGAGCAGCGATTTTCATCCTAACTCCATCATCTTCAGATGGCTCAATTACAGACCTCACCTCTTACAGACCTCACCTCTTACATACCCCCCCTTCCTGACCAAAAGATGTTAACCCAATGAGAACACCCAGAATATTTCAGGAGAATTTTGGAAGCAACTGTCTCCCAGCTCTGAAGCTGTTAGAGGCTCATTCCAGTATTTTATCTAAGTTCCCATATAGGTATCAGAGCAACAAAGCCAAGGTGATTTTTGGTAGACACTCTTTTTGCCACCTGTGGATCTGCCTAGGAACTAGGCTTCCATAAGCATGTTTGAAGGTTGAGAGCACAAGATACACTGCTGTCCTCTCTCACACGTTAGAAGCACCATTCCAACCTCTCTTTAGCAAGTTTATCCCAGCACATCGGAGGAACCCAGCTTCTCTCAGAAAGAAAAGACAGGAAACTACAGCTCTCAACCTGCTTCAGGCCCTCCTATGTCATCACTGCTCTGAAGTCAGCTACAGCACCCACTACCTGGATCCTATGCACACAAGAGGTGTGAAGGGTGCTCTGATGGGCTTTGACATGAACCTTTGACTCAGGCACACGCTTCCCAGTCTCACTGGGCTGAAGCAGCAAGACAAGGTACTCACATTAAGAGCTCCACCAGTCGCCGACACACTCCCGAGTCAATAACTGCTTGGATTTTCTCATTGGGACCATCTGATAGGTAGGAAAGAGCC